ATACATAGAGAACAAAAGCATCACCAAATAAGAGAAAAGTGTTTGTCATTTTAAATGATCCAGTGCATGCTATCTTTGTGCCTGTGGGAGGTGGTGGTCTCATCGCCGGTATCGCAACTTATGTTAAGAGGGTTTATCCATAGATTCACATGATGTTATGTTAATGGTTTTTTCACTCCGTATGTCTTCCTTTATTTAGAGAAATGACTATTGACATCTATTGCAAATACACAGGTAAAGATTATTGGGGTGCAGCCCACTGATGCAAATGCAATGGCATTGTCATTTCATCATGTTCAGAGAGTGATCTTGGACAAGGTTGGAGGATTTGCAGATTGCGTAACTGTTAAAAGGGGTTGGTGAAGAAAATTTCTGCTTGTGCAAGGAGTTGATAGATGGAGTTGTTCTTGTAAGCCGTGATTCTATTTGCGCGTCAATAATGGTGAGAGGTCCTTTTGCTTGTGAAAGTTGCATTTGGCATCTCTGATGCTTTAAATACCTTCCAGTGATGATATATATATATATAGGGTCTTTATTTTCTCATGTTGCAATCTGCAAATCCTCCAACCTGGTCAAAGATCACTCTCTGAACATGATGAAATGACAACGCCATTGCATTTGCATCAGTGGGCTCCACCCCAATAATCTTCACCTATGTATTTGCAATAGATGTCAATAGTCATTTCTCTAAATAAAGGAAGACATACAGAATGAAAAAACCATTAACATAAAATCATGTGAACCTGTGGAGAAACCCTCTTAACATAAGTTGCGATACCGGGCGATGAGACCACCACCTCCCATAGGCACAATGATAGCATGCCCTGGATCCTGAATTTGGCGCACAATTTCCATCCCTACTATTCCCTGACCCGTGATGACATCAGGATGATCAAAAGGTGGTATGAATGTACGACCCTCCTCTTTTGCACGCTTCATAGCATATGCTTGTGCTTCATCGTATGAATCCCCTACAAGGACAACTGTAGCACCCAGACTCTTTCCACTGTAAAGTTAAAAGGAATGAAAACATATAACTTAATTGACCATATTTTTTCCTGGGAAATCTAACATGAAACCAACTTGCGTGGGTGAGGGTGAGAGAAATCCATACATGCAGTCTTAAACTTATATTTTTCGCAAAGAGACTATTTTCTAAATTCAAATCCGTCGGTCACCGTAAGAGCAGCTTTAGCACTACTTGAAGCTCTGCCCTCTTCTAAACAAACAAGCAAGCTAGCAAATGAATAAACAAAAAATACCTTGATGTCCGGTGTGGTAACAGGCATAGCAATGGCATTGCAATTCAATCTCTTGGCAGCTAAAGCAACTCCTTGAGCATGATTTCCAGCTGATGAGCAGATAACCCTTTTTTCCAACAGGCAAAGCTTCCAAGCGAACTGTTGGAAAAAGGGGTTATCTGCTCATCAGTCATATTATTAAATGAGAAAAACTACCATTGTCAACAATCCACAATTTCAAATACTCAATCCATAAAGCACAATCTTCCACTGAAAAAAACACAGTCCCTTAGTTGTTCCAATTTGACAAAAGAAAGAAGGATACTGACGCTGAAAACAAGAAGACAAATTGGAATAAATCTTAGATGACTAATTGAACGTAGTCCCTTCCATCAAGCCAAATATGCTCATTTACATCACTCAAATCTTTCATTAACACAACTCACATAGTCACAGTTATTATTTTTATAATCATAAAGTAAAGGTAATAATTTTGAATATGAAAATCAGAACTTACGGGTTGCAAATCTTCCCCCCTTGAGTCAAAGCTTAACACCGAGCCTTTCAGATAGCATTGGCGCAATTTGGAGTGGTGACTCAATGGCCACATCGTAAACCTTCGAAGACAGAATATTGGTCAAATAACCCATCGCATTCACTACGCCGTCGTTTCCATCGGAATGTGACCGGTCGGGAACCGGTCCGACGTAGCCGAGTGGGTACTGAAGGGAATCCGGTGAAACTCTAGGCCGTGGAGGAGACACTGACAAGGAGGGATCTTCCACGGCGGAAGAGGATGCTATCTCCGCCGGCTTTGAGAGCGTGGCAGCGATGAAGGGCTTGGGACGGCAGTTTCGGGTGTTGGCGTTTACAGGGTTGCGCGCCATTTTGTCGAATGCGTGACGGCGAAGGAGTGGTGGCTGGGTGGGGGAGAATCGTAGCGCCTCCATTGTGGTCCGACAAATGGGTTTGGGGAAATAGGGTTTAAAAAAAGGGAACAACCAAGTTCTGTTATAATTATGTTACTATCAATCAATCTCACGATTATCGATTATCTCGATCTAACGGTTATATTTATTTTCATCTTTGTATGGTCATGATTTCTTAAATTTAAAGTGAAAGCATTAAATATAGTATTAAATATGAGAAATCACGACCATTCAAAGGTGGAAATAAATATAAAGTATTAAATTTAGGAAATCATGACCATACAAAGATGAAAAAAATATAATCGTTTGATCGACATAATCGATCTAACGATGAGATTGATTGGTAATAACGTGGTAGTAACACAACTTGACTGTTACAATATTCTTCCCCATGCTTTTTATCAAAAAAATTGACAGAAATATTTTTTGTCGAATTTTTTTTAGAGAAATGTGATTCGTTAAAAATTTTGACAGAAATTTTTTTTATCAAAAAGTTTAATGAAAATATTTCCGTCGAAAATTTTCGACGAAATTTAAATTCTATAAAGGATTTTGATGAAATTATTTTCTGTCAGAAATTTTCGAAGGAAATGTGTTTCACTGAAAATTTTGACGGAAATATTTTGACGAAATTTAGATTCCGTAAAGAATTTTGACAAAAAACAATTTTTGTCTAAATTTTTTACGAAATTGTTTTTAGTCACAAATTTTGGTAGAAATATTTTTCGTTAAAAATTTTTGAGAAAAATTTTGATGGAAATATTTTGACGTAATTGTTTTACGTCGAAATTTTTTAATGGAAATGTGTTTCGTCAAAATTTTGGACGAAAATATTTTCGTGGAAAGTTTTGATGGAATTTAGATCCTATCAATAATTTTAGTTGAATTTGTTTTCCGTAAATAAATCATGTCAGTGATTACGGCAAAATATGTTCAGTCTCTAATTTCGTCTTTAGTTTTGAGGGAAGTTTTTTGATGTATATGATTTTCATAAAAAATTTCATCACTATTTTTAACAAAATATTTTTCTTCGATAAATTATGTCGGTATTTGAGACTTTTCTAATAATGTCACATTTAAAAATGGTTTATATTTATGTAGTTTTTACATTTTAATGCTAAGGGTAGATAAGTAGTTTTCAATATTTTTTCCTATAAATCCTCCAAATTGGGGAAACTTTAATTTTAAGAAGAAAGAGGATTTTAAAGGATTTAGTAAAAATCTCCAATTTCCTCCCCTCATTTTTTTAAATTCACAAACGAGGGAAGAGTTTGCTAAAATCCTTTTTTTCCTTTCATTCCCCTCCTAAAACTAACTCCCAAACAAAGCTTAAGTATATATAAGGAAGATACCTTGAACTCGATTTAAAACTAGTTTATTGGTTTTATATCAAGTAAAATGTATAGTTGATCTAGTATCTGAACCAGACCATTCGAGATTCCAAATTACAAATCAACCGATCGACTGGCCAGATCTAGTCTAATTTTTATAACTGTTGAGATACATAGTTCTACATTAGTTGTATGTGTAACTAATGTGGAGTTTATAAGGCTTTGGATATTCCCACCCTTTAAGTTGGAGTGGTGTATTTCAAAACTATTTACAATAACCGAATAAATGGGGAATAAGCCAATTGTGAAACATCGCTAATAAATTAAAGAAGAGGGAAACTTACAAACTAGGAAGAGCAACGATTAGGAACGGTACATAAACCAAAAGGCCACCTGAGACATAGACCAATGACAAACTGCATGTCAGGTCCCATTGCATATCAAAACATTTATTTTTTAATTTTCGTATTTCCTCTTAATATATATCTCTACTGAATAAAACAGGAGACAATATTAATTGATTCAAAAGGTAATTTAATCAAATATCAACCTCATTTTTATCTTTGATAAATTCAAATAAAAATTAAAAATTTAAGAGAAAATAGATAAGAGAAAAAATAAATTAATTAATTAAAATTAAATTAAATAAAAAACATAAATATGTAACTCGATACAAAAAATATAGAAAAAATTAATATAATCCATTATAATTATATTTCTTAAAATTAATGACTTTTTTAATCCTTATGCAAAAACTTTAAACTACTATTATTTTGAAGTGAGAATAGCTTAAATAAAAGTGTTAAATATTTTTTATTTCCAAAACTATAAAAAATATTTAGTTCACATTTTTTGGTTTTTATTTTAATTCTTAACCAATGGTCATAGTACTACTTAGCAAGTTCTTGAAAAAAGAGAAATTAAAATTTTGACCTTTTTAATTGATTTGTTCGAATTCAAGCTGCCTTGTGGCAAAGTTTTGAAAGACTCGTTATGGAAAGGCTCTGCTCAAATAACCATGTTGTATGCTATTTGATTGATTGCTTACATAACTCTCAAATAACCATATCTACGCTGCACTTTATGTACTTTATCTGTAAGCTGTACATTTTGCTCTCGTGTTAAAATCTTGAGTGATATGTTATCAAAAAAAAAAAAAAAATCTTGAGTGATATAAAATCGATAGGCTTTAATCACCATTTGCATGGTGTTAATAGGCCCAACAAGAATCACTGTCCCATCATCATTTCTTTTCTTTTCTTCTTATTAGTAAAAGGAAGGGAACAAGTGCAAGAAAATTGCCGAGAACAGTGTTTTACAAAGCCATTTGCATGCATGAGAAGAAAAGAACATTCAGAATATGCTAGTCTTGTCATTTGTATTCAGGTTCCTGCGAAGATTATTCTTCTCAAATTAGACCTTCGCAGTTACTGTTCCTTTTCGAGTGTAAGACTATTATTTCAAGCTTTGTTGAAATTTAGCAAACAAACCTTTCTAGAGAGCCATTTATTACAGATGTTAAAAGGCAAGTCAAAAACATTAGAGAATATAAATTATTATATTAATTATAGATTACAAAAATGCATAAATTGCAGCACTAAGTAAAAAGAGTTGGTTCCTCTAGTCATCTGGTGACATGTCTAGGGGCCATTTCCTTTCATGCTTTCCCTCATCCACCTCTTTGAAGTCCACTGTCGAAATAAATATGATAATATTGTTATTGTCCACTAAAATTCACAATAATGGCTAATCATCAGCGCATTAAAAGCTCGAAGTCTTCATCATTTTTCTCCACTGTATAATCATATCCAAGTTTGTTAGCACGATCATGGAACTCATCCATCTCACTTCTGGGTACCTGTATTCCAACTAAAACATTTGCTCCAGCTTCACCCTGTTGGCCAGCAAGTATAATGATACCATCAGATGCATTGATCAAAGGAAGAAAAAGAATAAAACTCAATGTAGTTTGTTTGAATAAAGGAACAGAAAACCAGAAATTCCTACCTGCCCACGATAATGGAATAAACTAATATTCCAACGTGGACTGAAGGAGTCCAAGAATTTCATCAAAGCACCAGGTCTTTCTGGAAAGATAAAACGGCAAAGAACCTCATTCTCAACATTTGAACGGCCTCCCATCTGAAATGTGTTAAAAACATAGTTAACTTACTAATTAGTAAAACAATACCAACACAGGATCAGTTATTTAACTGTTAGTGGGAGTGATATGTTTAATAAGACTATCGCAAGACAAGACAACCAAATCACATATACCATCCCTTAGTCGAACGATGTAACTTAATTCTCAACATCTTAGCTAATTTGGACAGGAATCACCAGAAAAATCCAATATACCTAACATAAATGCTTATCAAAATAGAAATGAATGGCTTAGATCTTGTATTTAGTATTTACATAGTTTGGTGGTTGGGATTAGTGTTGAAAAAAGGGAAAACGACATAATAAACTTCACAATGAAGGGAAATTTTTGGCCAATATACCATGTAACGCAAGTGATCTTTCACCATGTCACTTTCTGTGCGATTGCGAGTTTGAAGATGAGAAGATTTCATCCTCTCCTGCATTGCTCTTAGCTCTGAGACTGTGTGAACCCCAACACTGCACACAAAATACAAAGGACAATAAAATGTTATGGGCCTTGACATGACAGTCATTGTCAACTACAAAGATAATGAAAAAGACATTGAAAACTAATAAATCATGCCAGAGAGATGTCAATATTCTGGGACCATATTGATTTTAGAAAAACTGATTAAAAAAGACAGAGAAAAAAAGATCAGGCATTTATTTCATGATCTTACCTGTAGAGGACAACAGCTTTCTCACTAGACTTATATCTGTATTTGAATTCGGTGATATTCATCTGCCCAACCTGCCAGGCAAGATAAAAATCTGTTCAATTATTAAGAACTCTGTTCTAGAAAACATCAGTCAAAAGTAGTATATAGACATACCAACTGACAAAACTGTTTGAAACTTCCAGGCTCCTCTGGCATAACAGTTACCAGCACAGCCTCTTGCTTACGACCAACATTAGCAAGTTCAGTTACCACCCTGAGTTTATCAAAATTCATGTTTGCCCCACTGGTTATTGCTACAACATTTTCCCCCTTGAGCCCATAATACTTGCAGTATGCCTCAGCTCCAGCAAGGGCAAGAGCACCTGCTGGTTCTAATATGCTTCTTTTCTCCTCAAACATGTCCTGCAACAAGTTTCACTGTTGTCAAATGTCATACGGAATCTGCAGTGCTTTCCATTCAATTCACAAGACATTCTAAAGTCTATGCAGGAAGTTAGGTCCCAATTCCCATTGATACAAACAAAAGAGCTACATTTGGACCAATAACAACTCACCAACTGAATAGCCTGTGCACTGAGAGACAGTGACAGTGTCTACAATAGAGCAGGCGGACTCTACCAGTAGAGAGTAAAATTAACAGCCAAGTTCATATAATTATAGCATATGCCTCCCAATAATCACCCAGTGGTGATAAATTGGGACCTGATAAAAAACAAATCTGGTGTTAATGGTTAAAGTAACAGTATAACAGGTTTTTCCTACTACTGCCACCACTCTCGAATTCGCTTCACCCAATCTCAACCAAGATACAGAGAGAACAAAAACATCACCAAATAACGATAATTCTGTGATTACAGTCATTACACAAAAACTAGAAATAATTTGGCAAGTTATTATAGTTCTAGTTATTATATGCAAGATAATCCTCGAATTACCAATTTGAATTTTGACATTACTTGATGACTCATAAGTTTATAGTCATCAAGCAAATCTCAATTATTAATCAATTCAAACTGCCTCAACCTCATCACTGGAAAGTGTATATATAAAGTATATTAAGCATCAGAGATTGCAAATGCAACTTTCACAAGCAAAAGGACCACTCACCTTTATTGATGCGCAAATGGAATCACGGCTTACTAGAACAACTCCATCTATCAATTCCTTGCACAAGCGGAAAGTTTCTTCACCAACCTCTTTAACAGCTACACCATCTGCAAATCCTCCAACCTGGTCCAACATCACTCTCTGACCATGATGGAGTGACAACGCCATTGCATTTGCATCAGTGGGCTCAACCCCAATAATCTTCACCTGTGTATTTGCAATAGATGTCAATAGTCATTTCTCTAAATAAAGGAAGACATACAAAATGAAAAAACCATTAACATAACATCAAGTGAACCTGTGGAGAAACCCTCTTCACATAAGCAGCGATACCGGCAATGAGACCACCACCTCCCACAGGCACAAAGATTGCATGCATTGGACCCTGAATTTGGCGCACAATTTCCATCCCTACTGTTCCCTGACCCATGATGACATCAGGATGATCAAAAGGTGGTATGAATGTACGACCCTCCTCTTTTGCACGCTTCTTAGCATATGCTTGTGCTTCATCATATGAATCCCCAATAAGGACAACTGTAGCACCCAGCTTCTCCACAGATTTCCACTGTAGAGTTAAAAAAATGAAAACATATAACTTAATTGACCATATTTTTTCCCGCGAAATATAACATGAAACCCAACTTGTGCGGGTGAGGGTGAGAGAAATCCATATATGCAGCCTTAAACTTGTATTATTCGCAAAGAGACTATTTTCTAAATTTAAACCCGTGACTTTTCGGTTCGTAAGAGCAGCTTTAGCACTACTTGAAGCTCGCCCTCTTCCAAACAAACAAGCAAGCTAGCAAATGAATAAACAACACATACCTTGATGTCCGGAGTGGTAACAGGCATAGCAATGACGGCATTGCAATTCAATCTCTTGGCAGCTAAAGCAACTCCTTGAGCATGATTTCCAGCTGATGAGCAGATAACCCCTTTTTCCAACAGTTCTTTTGGAAGCTTTGCCATCATATTATAAGCTCCTCGGAGCTTAAATGAGAAAACCTACCATTGGCAACAATTCACAATCTCAAATACTCAATAAATAAAGCACATTCTTCAACTGAAATACACATAGTCCCTTATTTGTTCCAATATGAGAAAAGAAAGAAGAACACTGACACGCTCAAAACAACAAGACAAAGTGGAATAATTCCTAGACGACTAATTGAACATAGTTCCTTCCATCAAGCCAAATTATGCTCATTTACATCACTCGAATCTTCTATTAACACAACTAACATAGTCAGTTTTTTTTTTTTATAATCATAAAGTAAAGGTAATAATTTTGTATATGAAAAAATCAAAACTTACGGGTTGCAAATCTTCCCTCTTGAGCCAAAGCTTAACACCGAGTCTTTCAGATAGCTTTGGCGCAATTTGAAGTGGTGACTCAATGGCCACATCATAAACCTTCGAAGACAGTATATTGGTCAAATAACCCATCGCATTCATTAGGCCGTCGTTTCCATCGGAATGTGACCGGTCGGGAACCGCCCCGACGTAGCCGGGTGGGTACTGAAGGGAATCCGGTGAAACTCTAGGCCGTGGAGGAGACACAGACAAGGAGGGATCTTCTGCGGCGGAAGGGGATGCTATCTCCGCCGGCTTTGAGAGCCTGGCGGCGATGAAGGGCTTGGGACGGCGGTGTCGGGTGTTGGCGTGAAGAGGGTTGCGCGCCATTTTGTCGAAAGCGTGGCGGCGGAGGAGTGGCGGCTGGGTGGGGGAGAATCGTAGCGCCTCCATTGTAGTCTGGAAATGGGTTTGGGAAAGGAATGATGGCTTCAAGGTTTTATATTTAATGTATGGGCTTTCAATCACCTTCGTGTCACAGAAAAGTGAGATGTTTTCCAGCAGACCCATCGATTTATGTGATATTTATTTATTTTTATTTTTATTTTGAAAAACCAATGGCGGACCCACTTTTGATGTTTGTGTGACATGATAATATGATCGGTTTTATTAATCTCGTGCGACATAAAATAAGCTCTCTTATGTTATAAATATAGTCATGGACCCACTCACTTATGAAAAAAGAAAAAAACTACAACACAAAAATCAATGTATATATAGGAGAGAAAAATACTCTCCTATAAAATAAGAGTATATTTTGATATAGTGATTTTCCTTGTTTATAATGTTTCAAGTAGACTTCAAAAACCTGAATTGCGTGTTCGACACTTGACACTCATTGGGGAGGCTTAAAAAATGTTTCAAAATTTAACTTGCGTCCCGTTTTCAGGTTTAACTATTAAATTTGTTGTATTATAAATATTATTTTATTAAATTTAATATAAATAATTATGATATTTTATATAATTTTATAAAATTAATGGGAATTATAAATATAGGGGAGTGTATTGGATTAAGATTTTAAAAGACTTTTTTGAAATAAAAAATCCTACAGATTTTAAAAGACATTTTAGAATTAGAGAGACTTTATAGACTTTTTTAAAAGACTTTTTTTACAATCAAAATTTCATATGATTGAATTTTAAAGGATTTTAATAAAATTCATAAGATTTGAAAGGACAATATGAATTTATAAGATTTTAAAAAACTATATGAATTTTTAACAAATATTCAAAATTACAAGAGTCAATAAAAACAAATAACAAAAATATGCAATGATATTAATAAAAAACAAAGTAAACTTAACAACGGGTTGAAAATTATCTCAAAAATTACTAAGCAACAACTCTTCACATATCAATAAAATCTAATATAATTTTCTCAATGAGTTTGAGTTTGATTTGCGAAAATAATAACCATATATCAACGGTTAACTTTCAAATTAAATATTAATTAATGAGTTTGATTTGCGAAAATAATAACCATTGATTGACAGAAATCAACAGTTAAGACATGCTTGTAAAAGGTTGTAAACAAAAAATAGGTTGTAAGTATAATATTCTCCATAAAAAATAACAAAGAAATGCAATGAAATTAATAAGAAAAGTAAAACCTAATATAATTTTCTCAATCAGTAAAACATAAAATAATTTTTAACAAACATTCAAAATTACTAAATAATAACTTTTCACATATCTAATGGGATGAAAATTATCTTCTTCATTTGGTATCAAAGTTATGCATATATGATTATAAGACCCAATTTATTTTTAATTATAAAAATAATTCTAAATTTGCATATAGAACCTAAAGTTCATGATAAAATTTCGTTTGGAATTTTTTGTAATTGATCTTGAAAACCTTGGGGTTTTTGTTTTACGTGATTAGAGTTTTCGAACCATATATCATATGCATATTTTCATTGAATATTCTAAGCAAATTTTGAATCTTGAATTTTTGGTTCAATTACATGAAAGTTTAGAAAATTTCTCAAATTTTTTTCAGTCGATACATTGAAACCTTAAATTGCTTTGAGATTTTTGAGAAACAAGTTTTTAGTTATCTATTGACACAAAAATTGTTTGAAATCATTTAAGGAATTTCGTTCATGAATGTATTGTTACGAAATATAGGTTCATATTATGAAAGTTTCAATCTTTCTTTAAATTGATATTGTTTCATTTATGTAATACGAAAATTTGTTTGAGGGTTTGAGTTCTCCTATTATTTTTTCACTGTTTTTTGTTGTTTTTAATACAAAAATCACATGTTTTTGTGCCAAAAAAAATCGCGAACCATAGCTTGAAAAATCACTTTTTAAACTTCCAAAATTTCTCAAAAATATGTCATTTTTAAGATAGATTGTATTAAAATCTCGTTGGTTTGTTGTTTCTGGGTTGTTTTGTGATGAAAATTGCTCAAAAATATGTTTTTTTGTTTTGATGAAGCTCCCATGGCGGAACCGAATTTCGAGCAGTCAATCTGCCAAAGGAAGAAGAAAACATTGTAATAAAAGAATCTCAAGAAATCCTAGGGATTAGGGTGAGATTGTGTGAGAGACGTCCTACTTATATTTTTCACTAAAAAATCTCATGAAATCCACACCAATAGAAAATTCATTAAAATCGTCGGATTTTTGAATACCACGAGATTGTGATTTCATTGTTTAAAATCTTGATTGAATACCAACGGATTTGGACGGATTCTAAAATAATCCTTTAAAATCCTAATCGAATACCACGTGATTTTTTTTCAATCCATTAAAATCCTAATCGATACAAACGGATTTTTTTGTCTAAAAATAATCCATTGAAATTCTTTGAAATCTCAATCCAATACACCTCCGTTAGTGTAACGCAGTGTATCAATAACTTTATTGTTTTAAGTGCGTTGGATTTGAACCAAAACATTTAATAAGTGGACCGAATTTAAAATTCGTGAATCAACGCGTGAATGTACCATGTAAATGTAACATGTTTTATGTCTGTTTTTGGCTTTTTGCGTTCCTGTTTCGTGAGTTCACGGCTTCACGGACTTTACATCTCCACTTCTCTATTAAAATAAAATGCTTAAGTATAGTGTCATGGGAATTACTTGAGATGCATTAATATAAACAGAATTTTATTATTAAACAAATTATTATTACTATGTGTTGTTACATAATTAAAAAATAATTTCACTGCTAATTATGCCATAACTAAAAACTCTTGACAACAAAACAAAACAAAACATGATGAGATTATTGACATTTCATTATGTCTATTTACACTTCCCATTTTTATTAACAGATTTTTATCATCGATAACGCTAAAGTTATTTTTGTACTATCTTAGTATTTATTCTCACTCTTAATAATAAATTTATTCCTAAAATCTTTTTCATCACATATTTTACATTTAATGTGTTATCTTCCTTTTATAGTTTTTTCGTTGGATTATTCTATGTTATGTTATGTTTTTCAAGTATTTATTATTTTTTAATTGAAAAATTTTGGTTTTATTAGTATTATATGAAAAAAAAGATAAAATATAGATGTATTCTATTTTATTATCTTTTGGAAAGCTCGCCGTGAAAATAGACTGAAGAAAAGTAATTTTTTTTTTTTTTGATAACAGAAGAAAAGTAATTTAAAATGAGAAGGAATAGGCTTGCATAAAAGAAGAGTCTTCAGAAGATTGTTATTTTTGAAATGAGAATAAATAATGAAATAATAATTAAAAGATTATTTTTAAAGTTTTAAATAAGAATAAATTTATATAATGCCATATAAGAAAAGAAAAAAATATTTCTCCTACCACAAGAGATAAAGTTATTTCCAGCAATCCTAAAACTATACTATATTGAGGGTTGCAAGAGATAATGAATAATATTTTAGGAATTTTGTTTGTTTATTTATTATAAGAATTTAATCAATATATTCTTCATTAATTCTTTCAATGCTCAAAATTACTAGTTTTGATGCTGTTGGAAATAGCGTTAACTCCTATAATAGGAGAAACAATAAATCCATAAAATAATAGAGAGAGCAAAAAGGTTTTTTTGATGCCGAAAGCACATAAAAAAGCGTTTAAACAAAAAATTAGAATTTTACAAAAGAGTGATCCTTCGGTTCTCAATTTTTAATTAACAAAATTCAACCCTTAGAATAAGGGTCATAAGTACCCTTTAGACTAATTACAAATTGATTCAAAATTTAAAATTTTAAAAACCAAAATCTTAAGAACAAGGAAAATTACTAATATAAATATAACGATAACTAACTTCTAAAAATAAATAAATAATAATAATTAAATCATTAAAAACACATCTCAAATCTTAGATCTCAAATCATGTCAAATGTGTTATTTTTCTTTTCTTACCAAACAAATCACAATCATATATGTTGCTTTATTGGGACTTAGATTTGATCGTATTTTGTTACATTTCAAATCATTGTTCCTTTCAACAATTAGGCCACAACTTTGGTTGACTCTAAGCTTCTTGAATCAATGGTAGGGTCATGTGCAATGAGTCAACTATAAATGCATCATTCTCTCTTGCTAGGAAAAGATTCATCCACGAATCTTCTTCATCTTCGCTGATATAAATCTCTTTAGGTAAAAGCTCAATGTCTATTAGATCTTTAACATCAAATTCTCCATCAGATTTAACGTAGACTAGATTATCATCACAAGTTAAATTTTTATCATAAGATGGATAATCATCATCAATCAGATAATTATCATAAAATGTGTTATGATCGTAGACATCAAAGTCAGGAATGTTGATTTGCATATCAATATCTTGCAAAGTGGATTAAATTCCAGATCGTACTTCCCAATTTTTTTCCTTGGTTTAGAATCCCCAATAGATTGACGTCCTCCTATTCGTCATGAGATGTGTCGTCTAATTTCATTCCTTCTTCGGATTGAATGCCCAACTTTGTCTATGCAAGTCGCCGCTCCAAATGTTGGATTTTTATGCTCTGCACCTCCCTAAGTTATCACTTCAAAATTTGGATTTTCTCGGTATGAGCCCCCACGAGTTGTCGCTCCATATCTTGAATTTTCCTTCTCTTTGCTTGCACAAGTAGTCACTCCAAAAATTAGATTTTCATGCTATGCGCCTCTATAAGTTGTTGCTTCAAATCTTGGATCCGCCTTCCGAGCTCTTCATTTTCTATGTCATGCGGGTCTATCTGACACGATTATTTTTCTTCTTTAGATTGTCTATTTTTTTTTTGGAACGAATCCACGTCCCTTGCCTTCACGACTTCGCCATTGATGACCTCTATGATTCTGTTTAGCCACTGGGTGAAGACAACCTAATGCTCTAATACCAAATGATGCCAGAAGCAGTAACCTATTGGCTAAACGAAAAAAAAGACTGAAAACAAGGATTGTGATAAAATATTATTTCTCTTTTCTGAATTTTATTAAC